CTTTTGCCTTTTTCTGATACAAATTACGATAAGTTAAGAAGGTGTGTGTGAAACTGTATTAATATGTAGCATACACGCGCATCAATGCTTCGATGATTAAAAGCAGAAGTAGAAAAAAAACCACACTTACTTATTCTATGTGGATAGAACAAGAAGAAAACACTAACTTACCAAAATACTAGACACTGTTCGCAACTAAAGTGCCTCAGGAGTTGGTGGAGATCAAAACAGAGCTAAACGAAGGCACATACTGGACTAACTGAATCTGTCAGGTGCCCAGAAATGTGGCTTCAAATGAATGATAATGTTGCTCCATAACTGCTGGATGTGTAAATAAGTCAATGTTTGCTCCCAAGTTCGCCATATCAGTTTAAAAGGTGAAAATATGTGATAATGGTTGATAAAAAAATCTATTAATACAGGTAACACTGACAGCACTTTTGTTTTGGAGATAGTCCTCTTTGATCTGGTTATATGTATGCCATTTTTATTATGGAAATGATACATGGATGTGATAGTTATTGTCTGTATACCTATAGTAACTTTATACTCTCCTCATCACTGTAGAAATTGTGAAACACCAGCAGTCTGCTGGATGTAGCTTTGCAAGTCAAACTGTTATCTAAAAATGCTTGTTACAACATGACCCAGAGTCACGTGTCATCTCGACAAATTTTAATAAGGTTGGTGCTTTTGGTTGGTTGTATGGTTTTCGGGCACATTCCTGCCGGCCCTGAAACAGAAAGATTAAAATGACACAGCTTTTTTCCTTCTTCCCTTCTCCCTGAAGATATCCTGTTGGAAAAAAAAATCATAGTCAATTATAGATGCATATAATGCATTATTGAACAGTGTCATTTATTTCACCTTTACAGTTGAGCTCATGAAAAATTATGCCAATTACTTATTTCCTCTCGGGCAATGTAGTAAGTGGCTGGGCCCTGAGGCCGTTTGTTGGGGCATGACATGGAGCTCTTTGTGAGGTCTGAGGGGGTGATGTACCTGCGTCACTGGACCATTTGTGGTCTGGCTCCTGAGCTTAGTCAATTAGGAAAACGAGTTGCGCAGTGATATGCACCCTTCTACCAGAGTCCATTTCTTTCTTTAATTAAATCAATCTCGCTATCACTCAGCCAGTCTAAATTGAGTTGCTCTCACGTACTTTTAATATGTGAAATAGACGAATATCAAAACAGCCATGACATAAATCCTAATCCAATTTCTCCGATGCTTGCACAGAATAGAAGCTTTCCAAGCAACTGCACACTTCTTTGATCTACTTCTCTCCAGCCATTTGCTATTGTGGCGCTGTAACGTTCAAAGTATCAATTAAAGAAGTACCCAAATAATGTTTGCCGAAAACTTTGATGTGTGCCTGCTGTGTCTTTCTCTGGATTTTTGTAAATGAAGAAAATATTATTTAATGTTTTTTAAATTGGGACAAATTATTTTTGCAAAAGAGTTTTTGTAGTCACTTATTGCCCAAAATCCTTGTATGAGCATAATTCATTCATTCATCAAAGCAGGATCTCAGACAGTATTTTGCTGAGATTTTACAATACTAATACATAAGCCAAATTTACAAAGACTCTTCAGTATAATCACATTGAAGGACATTTTATATTTCACACAGAAAGAAAATGTCTGCTGAGTGTGACATCAGTATAGGCTACGTGTTTGAATATATAGACATGAGTGATTTCAAAGTGTCTTCTCCTTCTCACTAACCTTGAGCACTGTCCATGAACAGTCCCCTCATGGCTCCAGTCTGTATTATCAACAGAGCACCAAGAAGATTGATACTCCCTGTGCCAGCTGGAAAAAAGAGAATGAATCAGAATTTAATATGACTTTGATGTATTATTTTCATCTTGGCCGGTGCCACAGACCCACTGAGAACCCAGCACCCTATCCTACCGCATTTTAAAAGATTCAAATTGGCTAAAACTTTTTGATGTAAGAGACTGTACACAAGTGTATACAGAAGTTCCTCTGCTGACACCATATACTTTCTAAAATTAAGTCATAAAATAAGTCAAATACATTAAAGAACCAGTGTGTTTCATATGCAATATGCTCTGTGAGATTCAGATAATCTGCTGTATATGTGGTTGTCAAAGCACAACAATATTGCTTATTACCATGAGGGTTAGGCTTGATTTTCTTTTTTTTAAATTCAGTTTTTCAGAGATTCATTCACATAATCAAAATGTTCTGTAAACACTGAGGCTATTATTCTTTGCATGGCAACTGGCAAGTAGTGAAAAGATAGATACATAGATAGAAGTGCATCTGGACTTGCTAATAAACATTGCAAGGTGTTTGCAGTATTATATGGGGAGACTAACACAAGCACAAACATAGAAATATGTGCAAATTCAGAGGTGCATTGTTAGTCATCACCTTGTACAATTCACAGAGGGAAGTAACACATAGTTTTGTACAGCAGTGAGTCAGGAATGTGCATTGTTAGCATCTGCAAATTAAATCAGCATACATACAGAGACAAGCAGTGTCAAATATAGGCAGGTAAACAAATAGACGGATTCAGTCATCAGACTGTCCAGCTACGTTTTGCTACTTGCAGGCTGTCCCACAGGCCACATCACAGCTGACATGTTCACTGACATGTTATATTATATGTTGTCTAAAAATACTAATACCGTATTATTTTTACTTTGTAATATTTTCTCAACTCAAAAGTATTGGCTCTACAACAGCAAAATGTGATGGTGATTATTATCTGTAGTGTCACTCCTTGTGGACATGAACATTTTTATATTGATTGAAATTCACCTTATCAGTGAGGCGTGACACCTTGATACAAGCTCAACTGCAGTTCATTTGTTGACTACAGTGTCTGCAGGCTGTCGATTCATTTTCTGGCATACATTGGACGAGGCTACTAAAAACAGCTGCATAATATTGTTTTCCAAGTTTTCATATAAGCAGTGTTATTGTACTGTATGTTAAAAGCTGCTTACTAAGTGAAAACAGGTTTATTGTCCCTTTAGCCTTAATGTATCATAAAAGCAGACATTTTAACGGCTGACGTTTTCAACTAGCATTAACTAGCTTAAGCTAACGTCAGCCCCAAAACTGACAGCTTGTATTTCCACCATCTAGCTTAACAGTGGTGGAAGAAGCACTGAGATCTTTTACTTAACTAATGGTAAAAGTAGTAATGACACAATGTAAAAATATGTAATGTTAAAAGTCCTGCAGTCCTGTACTTATAAGTACAGAAGTATTCTCACCAAAATGTACTGAATTCATTAGGCCTAATCACCACTTTCGAAGGGTCATAGGATTTTATATATTATTTTATTGGATTGTAATTATAGTACTGATGCCTTTATGTGTAACTAACATTAAACGTTGTAGCTGGTTGAACTAATTTTAACTAGTGGGGTTTGTTTTTCTTGTCAAACTCACAATGGAGTAAAAAGCTCAACATTTTCCCTTCAAAATGTAGTCGAGCTGAAATATAAATTGGCATAAAAAGAAAATACTGAAGTAAAGTATCATAACTTTCCGTACTTTCCACCACTGTAATTTCCAACACAGATATCCGTTTCCATTTATTTGGCTGATTAGAGTCCTCAGGACTCTGCATCTCTATGACTCTTCTTATATTGTTTAGGTGCATTAGAGCAGGATAACTTACACTGTTCCCTTTTCATTTATATTACTACATGGAGTTTGGCGACCTCTGCTTATCCAATATATCTGATAATCAATAAGAAAACATGTTTTCATAGCCATCATTAAAAGCTTTCACAACATAATAATGCATATGGTGAGACATCAGTTATTGGACATGGCCCCCTCTGTCCTCTTTCATGTGGATGGAAACTCCCATCAGTCAGTCCCCATTATCTGAATGCATATACCAGTTTCTGTAACACAGTGAGTGCAGATTTGTTTCCGAAATGATGCAAATGTCTAGATCTCCAATATGTCAACACATTCTTGTAGAAAAGAAATGCTGCAGTATTGATCTTTAGTGTGCTAATAATTTAGAATGCGTATTCCTAATTTGTAAACAACAAATGAGGTGTGGATGTGTGTGTGTGTGCATGAGCAGGTCATTGGAGTGTCTCATTGCTGGTTGAAAGCTGCTGGAGCAGAGAAAAGGATGGAAACGTCTGCAATTTGAAACCTTGTTAGGAATTTATGAAGTGCTAAAATGTTTTCTCCCCAGGGAGGGTCCAAGCCAGCTGCCAGTGCCACTGTAAGCCACTTAGTGCAGAGCCTCTGGGCTCGTCACCAGGCTGAGATGGCAAGCAAGATACACACACACAAATACTGTACATAGTTTTTTTTGCCTGAAAAACAAAAATACAAATGAGTCTCTCTCTCTCTCGCTCTCTCTCTCTCTCTCTCAAAACAGAATCTCAGATTGCAAATGTGTGCTGGCTTCGTCACTCTGGAACCAGTTGTAGATTACTATGGAGCTAATTGGTCCAACATTGACATTTATTACCCTCCTCTCCTCTAGAGAATGTTCCTGCACAAACGGCATTTAACGTCATTCTCTTCACTGTGATGCTGGCTTGAATTAAAGCTTGAACATAATCGAGGCAACTGACCTTATTTCATAATTGATACTAGTTTATGTTAATTTAATGTTCCCGAGGTCCTAGGGATAAGAATACATTGATGAATCCGAAACTACTGATCATGTACCATAAATAGAATCACTTACAGTGAATTACTTTAGAGGAATAAGGATTTGTGCTTTCTAATTGTTTATATTTTAAATAAACATTTTCATACCAAACAATCTAAATATAAAGAAAAGCAAGGTTTTAAGATCTCTGGTCCAGATTGCGTTCAATGTGTTACTTCCAAACCTTATTTACAGTGATCCATATACAATGAACAACCAATAAATGAATGCATGTATCTGAAAAACAACGCAGCACCGTAATAAAAATGAAATAGCAAATACAATATATGGTTGTAACAGTAAACATCCTGTGTTTCCTCTCTTGCAGTTTTCAGTGAGGATCTACATTCCAGCTTATACTTTGTCAATGCATCTTTGCAAGAGGTAGTATTTGCCAGCACCACAGGGACCTCGGTGCCCTGTCCTGCTGGTGGTGCGCCGCCTGCCTCGCTGCGCTGGTATCTGGCGACCGGCGAGGAGATCTACGATGTCCCAGGCATCCGCCATGTCCACCCCAATGGAACCCTCCAGATCTTCAACTTCCTGCCATCCAGCTTCAGCAAGCTGATCCACGACAACACGTACTACTGCACTGCCGAGAACCCTTCTGGCAAGATAAGGAGTCAGGATGTCCACATCAAAGCAGGTGAGTCCACAGAGGAGGGCGTGGGGTAGCAGGGGTACTTGCACTAACGGTGGTGGTGAGGGAAATAGCAGTAGCACTAGTGGCAGTGGTAGTAGTGAGAACAAGAGAAAACCACTTACCCTAACTTTACATTTTTGTGTGTAACAGATATGATCTGCTTAATATGTTGTTTTTCTAGTTTACATAATTGTTCACCAAAATGCAATCGTAGTGTCGTGATACTAGAGTATAGCTATGCCCCTTGGTGCTGTTAGGGATTCAATTTGCTGAAGGACACTTCAGCAGCAAGTTTTTCTAGATGAGAGCTTGATCCTGGGTCCCAATCTGGAAACCTACCCTCTCCCCAAAAATGAAAAAGAGGTATACAATATGTAACTGGTGTCATATGAGTCGTCATGTATTTATGCTTTTTTGTTCTTGTTTTTGTTTAGTCTCACGGGAACCCTACACTGTCAGAGTGGCCGACCAGAAGGCTATGAGAGGCAGTGTAGCTGTCTTCAAGTGCATTATCCCTGCTTCTGTTGAGGCCTACGTCACTGTTGTATCATGGGAGAAAGACACAGTTTCACTCAGCTCAGGTAAGACAAGTAATACTTCACTATTTTGTACGGAGTGTAACTGGGTTCCTCAGGACAGAGCTTTTAGTGCTCAAATAAATCCAGGAACACGACCTGTTAAAAATCAAGCCTAATGTGTAATATGTGAAAGTAAAATTCCAGTGTTAATGTTAAAATGACCACGTTTGTGACTTTACACTAGCTATTTCAGTTATAGCACATAGAGAAGCCTTTTTGTGCCCACTTTGGTAAAGAGAAAAATGTGAGATTAAATGTTTGATGGAAGGAGCCCCCTCCCTGCTCTACTCTGTGCTCTTTGGACACTATGTTCTGTTTCACTGTGAGTCATCTTCTTACCTGTTTACTGTTGTAGTCTGCCATTACCGGGGCTCTGCAGCTCTGCACAGCCCAGTCCTCTCACTAGCCAGAGGATGTTGATAACTGTCACATTGAGTCACTGAGCTTCCCTCTCCTATACACACTCCACCTCAGCCAACTCCATTTTGAGTCCAGCAAGGGGTAAAGTGGAACAGTTTACATAGCATCATTGACCTAGTTACCCTCCTTGTTTGAATCCAGTGGCACAGCATGATAACGCAAGACACCAGAACATTCTGCGGGTTGGATTTTTACTCAAGTTAAATGGGATGCTTATCTCTTGATTGCTCCATGTACTGCCCGCTGGCTGATTTTCGCTTCATACTGGGGCGTTCAGGGACCTGTAAGTGAGCACTTGATGTCATTTGACTGAGGGCAGAATCTAGGACGGTGTTTTGGTGGCATTTTAAATGTGTCTGCTCAAGCATGAAGATGTGTCTTCTGATCCATGCCAGCGACTTATTTACTCGAGGTTACTGGAGTTACTCGCTGCGAGCCGCTGGTTGAAGACATTGCCTAATGTCACGGAGAGCAGGCGGATATGCAGCGTGCAGATATGATTACATTCTGTAAATGAAATGAATCATGTAGACAAGATTCAGAGATGATGTTTATCTCAACTGTGGCTGAAAAAAGTGTCCATTATGAGGATAAAACAATCTCCTCTACGTCTTTAGCAAAAGCAAAGGCCTGACTTAAAAAAAAACATGTCTTCATGTATGGGCTGTAAATTGTCCGTGTGTGTGTCATTCCTTTATATTGAAAAACCAGTCATTGCCAGTCATTTCTTAAATCAGCTCTTATTGTACTGTCTACAATGACATCTTTCCTTTTTTTTTTTTTTTACAACAGGTCTGACAGCCTATAGAATATGCACTGAAGTTTTGATGGATTATATTGTACGCTCTGTGTTCTTTTGAGTTCTTTCACAAGCGTTCAAAAGAACAACGATATTGGATTGTCCGTGTTTACTCCAATAAGTATTGCAGCAGGCGAGTGCTGTCAAAAGCATGAGCACACTGTCAAAATCACTGCTGCTCCGTGATAAATATTTGATGGTCGATTCTGATGCATGAGCGGATTCACCTCGCACTGTTATTGAGAGGGTATGTTTACTCTTGGAGCGAGGGTTAGAAGGATGTGTGTGTGCGTGTGTTTGTGCGTGAGCGAAAAGCGAGCGAGCGAGAGACCACAAGGATACCAACAGGGCTTGACAGTGGCAACTGGGTGCAGTTTGACCCAGCCTAGTTTTCCGACTCCCTCCTTTTTTCTTTTTTTTTCCTTTTCATTTTTTTTTCAATTTTTCATGAAAGAAGACTTGGTCTCAGTGGACACAAAATAAAGCTATCCCACAGCCACACTGAATTATTAATCTCAGGTTTTTGTTGGGAATGGTAACATCAAGCGCACTTGCTTGCATTGTGCATCAGAATGTGAGGAAGAACAGTCAAGGCTCTTTCTCTTAGTAGAGACGTAAAATAAGGATGGTTATCTTGAAGAAAAGAAGTGTATGATGTCACCTGATGTGATGTTGATGAACATCCACAGTTTATCCTAAAACAAGTAAACCTTTGATCGCAACTGATTACTGTCGTATGTGTCTGCTTGTTTCATATTGTCAGGTTTAAATGTGCTTTTTAAGATCAAAAACTTGCACGTAGAGATTAAACTGGCTCAAATCATGGCTGCTGAAATCTTTGAATATCCAGTAATTCACATTAAGGTCAAAAATAGATGCATAATTACAGACTAGGGCCTGTCTTAATTAATCAACTGTGATTGAAAAGTTAATTACAATATGAATTACCTCTCAGAATGAGGACTGCTTAGTAGTCATTTGAAGCGGCCTGTTTTCAATGTGAATGAGCATGACGCAACCTCGCTGGGTCCTAATGTTGCCACTAACATACCATTAACCCGTCATGAATATTAAAATGGATCTCGCAGTACGAGCTTTCAAATGCCCGGCTCCGATCGCCTCCTCGCTGCTTTTGATAAACAATTGACAGAGCTAATAGAGAGATGAAAGAGGCAAAAAAAAGAGAAAGAAAGTGGAGCGGGCAGGGGAGGAGTTGAGCTGTGTCCTACTGTGTTGCTGCCAGGATTTTATATGGTGGACCTTTATTTCAATGCATGTGTGTATTGCTGTTGTCACATGCACCTTTGTGTATCAGTGTACACATGCTTATGTCTGTGTAGTTGTGTTTTTTTACATGCCCCCGTGTGTTTGCGTGTCAAGTGGCCATGCTTTTGAAAAAGGGATGAAGCTGGGATGGTGTGTGTGTTTTTGTGTTTTTCCATCTACCTTCCTTTTGTCTCTCATCATTCATGATATGAGGCAGTGTAATGAGCTGGGCGGCCTTGGTTGCAAAGAAGGGCTTCAACAAAACCAATGGCCAGATATTGAATGAGCTGCAAACAACATTTTGTCACTGAGACCTTGCACTCTCCTTTAAGATGTGTGCAGTTGTATGTTGTGCAATTTGAGCATACATTTTTTTGTCTACTTGCAGTCACCTTTGGTCTGTTCGGGTCCTCCTAAAGTACAGTATTCGTTGCAATCTACCTGCTCAGAGCTGCAGAGATTATTTTCCTTTGTACCTACCATGTACAATTGTGTGTACATCTCCCACACAGTGAGTTCTTACTGACTTTTCATACCTTTTTACAGATAAAGAAGCAACATTAGCGTGGAGTCAACATAATCTCTGTAGCAAATGATACACACAGTGCTGTTCTCAGAGCTTTTTATGCATGTGTCAACATTTGCATCCATTTAAATCTGCTTTTGTAAGTGTAGGCATCTTGCAAATACTGGAGACCAGTACCAATCTAATTCAAATGAATTTTGGGACAATACCAGGTTTGGGATTTTGGGACAACAGTGAACAACGTGTAAAACAGGTTTAATGTTATGATTAGTTTACTAAAGACATTTTGGTTTAGGTTAGGCTAACAAAGGCTGAAATGCTGGTCATGTAAATGTAAAGATATATCAATCGTGGTATCCAGGTATAAAGACATCAGTTTCAATGTTACCCTACTATAGAAATAAAAAAAGGATGCTATAATTTGATGAAGTAGATATAAGAAAATATATTTTGTAGATTCTTGTATGAAAAAAAACTTTTTTAGTCATAACCTGTCTTCATCTAATATTGTGAATTGTATCAAATCATGAGTTAAGTGTATCAATACAACACAAATTTTCAATAATAACATCTTTTTAATGTTGAGTTAAAAGCTTCGTAACTTTGCACCTTAATGTAAATTATTATTATATTATTATTATAATTATGTTAGGAAAATGTATTTCTAGAGCTGAAACAAATTGTCTAGTCAATCGACAGATAACTAATAGTCAACTATTTGAATGAATAATGGTTTATCAGACAAAACAAGACATTTTAACACCATGTGCTCTGGAAACTTATGACAGGCTTTTTTTCCCGGTATTTGCCGACATTAAACAGACCAATTCATCCATGAAGAACCAAAAAAAAACCCAAAAGCTGTAGATGAATCCAAAATGGAAAAAAGCGTTAGTTGCAATCCTACACTTTTCCCCCTTCATCCAGTTACTCATCCAGTGGGACGCCTGACACAGCCTTAGATAAGGAAGTGCAGGCCGGACAGTTGGCCTGTATATCGCCCCTGGAGAAGACAGGAAGAGAGGTAAAAAGGTGAGGAGAGGTGAGGTAAGATGGGGGAAAAAAGAGAGAAGAAAGGAAGAATGGAGGCAGAGAGGTCTTCTCTGGCATGGAGAGATAGGGTTTCCTCTTTGGAACAAACATGCAGGCCTTTCATCTTTTCAGGCTGGAGATTAGGCTGGAGATGGAGGACCGGAGGCTTTAGTCTGTATTTAGACGCACACTCAGTGCAAAGCTGGTGGACAGAGATGACTCCATAAACCACTCCTACTTCCTGCATGTGCCACCATCTTTCTATTCCATCCCATTATCACTTTTTTGTCCCATATTTAATTTTGGGCAATATTATGATATATACTGTGAGACAATATACATTTGTCAATCGTCTAAATATAGGGGTCCATACTTTAATTTGTCTGGTATTTTTTTATTTATTATTTGTTTGTTTAGCTAAAAACCAACAATATATAATGATATATATTTATATTGTGATATGAAATCACATACAACATGATTGGGTTTATCCATATTGTCCACCCTTTGTTGGATTTAACTCACACTAACTGTAGTAAGTGAGTTTTATATTTGTGTACTGTACATAGGATTTCTGTTCTTTATAATATATTTTTAACAACACTATCTGACATTGTTTATGTTGCAGAGATCAGTAAGTGCCTCCTTTCTCTTGAACTTTTCCTTCTCACCTTCTGCTTTGTTTTCTTCTTTTGTTTCCTTTTATTTACCCCTCTGTTCTCTTCTCCATCCTCCACTCCTTTCCATCCTCCTCCGCTGGCCTTGACTATTGGCCTTCTCTCCTCTCTTCTCATCTCATTGCATAACCTGCTTGGCACGACGCCCCAGTCAATTTCCTATTGCGTGGAAAATGCTGTTTTTTTATTTGCTTTATGCAAATAAGTCCCACCAATACTCACGGCATCAGTAAAAAAAAATCTCCAGTTAAATTTTTCAGTCACATTTATGTCGGCCGCTTCC